CTCACAATAATCAGCGACGTGTATACAGATGGTCAGCCAACAGAAATATATGAAAGCTAATCTTCTCCCTCATTCAACTTTCCTCCTATAACAGAGTTATTTTAGGAAGTATGGTCATGCTTCATTCTAATTGCTCATAAAAGGCAGAAGAGCAGAGATAACTGATGTGATCTTTCTAACCCTCTTTTTAAGATTGCAGCAAACCTCTGCTTAATACAAGCTTTATGTCACCAGTGTAAGAGGAAATACTTAAGAAAAGCTATAACTATAAATCACACATCATCCTTATTTAAAAGCTAACAAGGGTGAACAATTTTTACAGTTTAAAAGCATTTAGCTGCTTTTGTGGCTACAGAAATTTCACAGTTCTCAGTCTTCTGAGGCATATACTTRCTTTATGTTGCTCCAAACAGAAAGAAGTGTATTTTTTTTCTTGAGAATTTATGCTCATTAACTTGTAAGCTTCAAAGCACTGGCTGTTAAGTATTATATTTATTGTAGATCCATAATAAATAATGAATGCTATACACATTTTTAGTTGGAATAATTCTTTATGGTTCAAACCATTAGATAAAACTTCCAAAATTTTTATACATTTATCTCTGAGTGGCAACTTTTGTTGATAAAGAAGCTCATGTTCATTCATGGTTTAAATCAAATTTCCACTCTGTATAGTGATTTCAATGCTTATTTTCTTTGGTTTTTCTTATTATGTGTAGGTTTAGTGATTGTAGGGAAAAGAGCGTCTTCATATTGTTTTTTATTTTATTAAGTGTACAGAGGTCCTGATCAAATGCCTTTTAAAATTAAAAAAAAATTAACATGGCTCATCTACAAGCATATTCAATTTAGATGAGACATAAAGTTTCATTAATATAATCCTGATAGCGAGTTCTTATGATTGCCTCTTGGAATAAATAATTGTGGAAATATGGTTCTGACTTACAGATCAAGTCAATTAAAGATGACTTCAACTGGTGATTGCAGTCATTTTCTAGATATCAAACATTAGGCCCATTTAGTCAACATTTCTAAATTTATAGACAAATGAATATTTATGAGCTTCAGAAAAGTGCATTTACTTTTGCTTTCTGGTTGAACAGCATAAATGCATATGTCACTGATTCCTAAGGAAGAAGAAGGTCTTTTTGCCAGGGTTTGGGAAGGACTTTTGTTCAAACAGTATTGCCCCCTCTGCCTCCTTTGTATCCCTGAGAATCATGGAATTAGTGAGCCATAGTTACTAATAGATGGGTAGAATCCCTCCTGCATGTCTTGATGGTGACTCACTGGGCCTTTTGTCACTAGAAATGTGTGGCATTCAAAGATAAGCAACAGAACAAAGATTCAGTCTCTCCCTAATTTTACACTAAATGCAAGGGCAAAATCTTCATTCAATTCACTTAGTAATTTGGTGAGTTATTCACCCACACCCACCATATGCCAAGCATTGTTAGGTGTGGGAGATAGGATGCTGCACCAGATATGGTTCCTGCCTTCAAGGTGCTTGAAGTTGAGAGAGGGACACAGACAAGTAAACAGGCCATGACAGTTCTGTGTGATAAGGGCCATGGGGGTGGGGGTCTGCAGGTACCAGCAGAGAGAATTTTAAACCTAGAATTGAGAAGGGACAATTACCTGGAGGAAGTGAGACCATGCTAAGACGCAGGATGAAAATTTCCATGTGAAGGAAGAGGTAGTGAGGAGAGGTTTCTGGGCAGAGGAAATAGCCTGTGTAAATGAGGAGGTTGAAAGCTCCCTGAGTAGCTGGAACCCAGTAGCAGGGAGGGTGGGAAGAGATGAGGCTGCAGAGGATGCTGGGACTACGTCACACAACATGTGTGTGTGTGTGTGTGTGTGTGTGTGTGTGTTGTGTAAATTATGTTAAAGGATTTGGATTTTGAACGAAGGACAATGGAGAGCCAGGAAAACAATTTTGAGCAGGATATTTTATAAAGATTTTCTAAATATTGCTCTAGTTGTGGTGTAGAGATTAGGTTGGAGAATTTGGGAAATGGATCTTTAGGTGGCTGTTACCTGATCCAGGCAATGACAGGATCAAGTGTAATTCAGGCAATGAACAAGTATGGACCAGAAGAGAAAAGTGACAGTGGTATCTCTCCTTGTGAGCAGGATCTTGAGTTCACTGGGAGAGAGGGGATTTGAGTTGACACTTGAGAAAACTGAGCAGATGGAGAGGTCCTCTAAGAATTCAAAAGAGCAACAGAGAAATGCCTGACTATTGTGTATGGTTTTTAAAAATTAAAAAGAGAAGAGCAAAGAAATGCTTTCAAACCCTCTTGGGGTAAAAAGACAGGAAGGTGCATCCCTAATAGCTTCAAACCCCTTTGTGCTGTCCATTTGTCTTACATCACTCTTATTTAGCAAGCTTGCACTGTGTCCTCTACATCTGTGTGTTCAAGACACTTAGAATGTTCTGCAAACAAGATTGATACGTAGTACCACTACCCTTAGGCCTTTGTTTCCCCCCTCCCCAGGTTATAGAGGACTGGAATGGATTCAGGATTGATGTTGTGGTGGTTGGGAGGGAGAATAGACTAGTCCTATAACACAATGCCTGACTAAAATGATACATATGACTTGCTCAAGTCATTTGGCATAACGCTARCTCCCAATAAATTTGTTTAGGAAGGATTAAAATTTTGGTTCTTTCCATTGCTCCATAGATCCATTCTCATTTCCTTCAATGTTTCTAGGTTCCTTTCACTTATCTTTTCCTGTGACTTACAGAACCTATACATACCCAAATCTCTGACAACGCTCATGGCTCTAGAACTTTCTATCTTTTTAGAACCAATTAAGTATTGGGTCATAATTACTCAGGGCCCAGGTTTCTGGCAAAGTAAATAAAATATACTAACTTATTATAAATCAGTCAATAAACTTAATTTATRCTGCAAAATAATCAAATAGACTTAGGTGGCAGTTGAGTCCCAGCTAAACGTTTCCCACTCAGCTAATCTAATACAGTAGTGATCAAGTGCACCAGGCATGAGTGCACCCACCAGCTAAGTTAGTTAGGTACTGCTAGTCTCTTTGTCCATAAAATGTGAATACCACACATCTGCTTCTTAGGGTTGTTGGGGACATTACATGAGATAAGGCATAAATAACTAATTATACAAGCGTGGCACATAGTAAGTGCTCAGTAAAGATTTGCAATGACTGTTTTGGTTGTTGCTATTATTACTGCTACTTTAAAACAAGGAGTCTTTAAAGCTTTAATCTAAAGACTTGAGTAATGTAGGAATTTGAGTCACAACAATAGGGCCCATGAATGAGCTTTAGGTGGGCACAGGGAGGATTCTTTAGGTGTGCCATTGAAGAGGTTGCTTATTGGCACAAATACAGATCTAGTCGTGTATGTACACTCAATGAGAGACTTGAAGCTCCTTAAGGCAGAGACACTGTCTTGTTCCCCATTATGTCCCTATCACCCAATATTAAGTCTGGCACATAATTGGTGCTGAGCCAGTTTTCTTGAATGAGTAAACCATAGCAATATCCTGATGGGAAAACTTTTGAAGTTGACTCTGTTTTCTGACACTCTAGCTACGAAAGCATTTCAGTACAATCACAACATCCACCATCCTAGGAGTCTTATAATTATTAGAATGATTATTAAAGTTTTGCTATTTATATCTAAATATGATATTTTCAATTTCATGGAGTGGTAACATTCTGTTTCACTTAATTCTCATTCTGGGAAATTTTAAAGTACCTCGATATTTAATCGTATAACGTAGAAAATGGGTTATAAGTTTGTAAAATGGAGTCTGCGAATCAGTGATGTTCCTTTTTTCTTTTAGTTTTTTGTTACTCAAAAACATATGAGTTGTTTGAAGAGAGCCACAGGAGACTTAGATAAATGTCTGTTTGAATTATATGATTATAAGGTTTCGAGCATGCTTCTTAAAAACACCACCACAAATACAGGGTTTCCAAAACTAAATCAAGGACACTTAGATTGGGTGTGGTGAGGCAAGGGTTTCCAATTAAATTTCAGGGCTGGCTTTGCATTCTAGTCTTGTTTTCTTAGTTACTCTTGGGGGAGCTAACAAAACTTTCTTTTTCCTGTTCACTGATCCCAAAATTCTTTTAAGGCAAGGACRAAAGTAAATTGATATTGACATAAAAGGTTTTTCTAGAAGCAGGCTTGGAGATGCAGAGGAATTGCAGAGTTTTAAAGAGATCTTAAGGGTCTGATCTCTGAGTGGAAGCAAAGGACAAAAAAAAAAGGAGATTGGGGAGAGCAAAAATCCAGGGGACCAGGGAAGAACCTATTTGTTAACTTTAACTCGCACTTAGAAGAAGCAAAGCATTTTTCTCAGGTTTACATATCTTTTTGTTTGCATATCCTTAAAATAAATAATTAGAAAAAATACTGCAAAATGAAATAGTSTTGATCCTAGAATGACAATCAATCGGGATGCTTGAGGCTTGGTAACCTGAGAGGGATTTAACAAAAATCAATTAAGTAACTTGTTATAAAAAGGGCATTTAGAAAATTTCCCCTTAAATTAAAGAAATATTAAGAAACCATTATGGAAGGCAAAGGATGAACCTTCCTGTGTCTGCACATATTAGGGAGATTAATTAATAATTTTTCTCATTGGCAACCTAGAATAGAAATTACATGTTGTGTTTATGAGTGTTTTGTTTTTTAATTAAATCCAAGTTCATGACTAAGCACAGAGTAGCTATGCTAATGAATCTAGCACATGTGCGTACATGAACATATTAATTATATAAATAATTAGATACATATTAAAAATATACATAATAAATAGCTATGATTACTAAAGTGTACCATTTCTAAGACAAGATGCACAGATCATGAAACAAAATAAACATGATTTCTAAATAATGCCAATAAATAAACTACCTTTGTGACAAAAATCACTAAACGATGTGCAATTCAGGTTTATTTGGGAACCCTGGCAGCTGAGTGGGCATTCTGATTTATGAGAAGTGCTTACTGGTCTCTCATGCTGCAAAATTGATGACTTCCCAGGTTCATATTCGAAAATACTCCTTGGCTCAGACCGAAATTTTCTGGTGTCCACTTTTCTGTCTGGAGGATCCCAGTCATGYCTAGAAATAAACAACAAATCACACACTAAAATAATCCTGTAGGCTTAAAGCAGCTGTACACAAACTATTTGCTCTCTGTTTTCAAAGTTAATTTTAGCAGAGATTAAAAAAAAATCTCAGGACAAAAAGGTAATTTATGAAAATAGCATATATTGTATATTTTGCTTGACATAAATGATTTAAGGGAAGTCATTCTTTTTATATTATATTTCCTGTATTTTTTTTTCCATATGGGACTATCCCACTGCTGGTTCAAAAACTCACATGAGGGGCTTATGCACACACAGACGATGACATGTTAGTAAACTCATGGGTCAGTAATGGCAGGAGGTAAGTGGCAATATAGGCTCTGTGAAGCTATGAGAGTTTAACCCACCACTCGGTGACTAGGTGTCCTCCATCCAAAGTGATAAGGAGTAGCACACACACCATATTTGATTCTATTTCTTACAAGTGGTAGAAGAGTTTGTGAGGCGTTCAACAGAAGCACTTGGGTTGACATACACAGAAACATGCAGAGTGGCGTGGGAGCCCCTTTTTGGTGTCAGCCTTGAAAAACCAATATTGGTCTCATGGGAATCTGCTTTTTTTTTTTTTTTTTTTTTTTCTGAGCTCATATATCATTCAGAGACTGTCACAAAAGGATTTAGCAAGTAAAGCTCCAAGGAAGGACTTTGAAAGTCAAACTTTTTTCAGGCTGGGACTAAAAAGGAAGGCATCTTTTAGAGAAGGAAGAAAAATTTGTTGATTATAGATTTCTCAGGAAAAAGGATTTTCTRACTTTAGATTAGGGAAATTCTGACTCCATAGATGGGAATAAAATTCTGACTCCAAAGCATATTGGAAATAGAAGTGCTCCAAGAGGGAAACTTAGGGGCAAGTCCTGACAGTCTAGTAAATTGCTGAGCAATAAAAGACCCCTTAAACATTTTCAGTCTTTGTTTCTTCTATAAGACAGAGTAAAAATGTGTCTTTTTCTCTTGCAGAGGTGTTTGAGCATTATGAGAAAATACATATAGGAGCCATCTGGAATTTTTAAACGATCATCTTATGTCTTTACTGGGAAATAGTATATTTAAATCTAAGTTAGTTTTGGTCATTTCTGATAGCAAAGACACTATTTTGTATCTAAATGATTATTTTTCAGTTTTAAGACATCACACTTTCTAAACACATAATTCATAAGAGATCAATATTAAAATGAGAATTTCTTCACATGTGATTTGTGTCCATTTTTGTGACATCATGTACCCTATAAGGATCAGTAATTATTGTCAAGGAGRTGTTGTATATAAACTTTCTTAAAGGGTTTCGATAGATGATTCTTAATAATCAGTATTAATAAAGACTAATTCTTGTATCCTTACTTGTTCATTGCCAGCATAGGCTTTGGATTTAAGCAGAGCTGAGTTTGAATCCTGGCTTGGATATACTAGCTGCATGAGCTGAGCAAGTTTCTGCAATTTTTCAAATTAGTTGTCTTTCTCTCTAAAGTRGAATAGGGATGTTCTCAGAATTAAATGACATAATATGGGAAAAGTGCCTATCTAATGAGTTCCAGATAAAGATTACCTATAATAGGAATATAGTGTCATAATCCTACTAAAAATGACCTAATGAAAATGTGTTTATAAATTTTTGTTTGAGTGTGAATAGTCTGAATAAAAATATTTCAGTGGAATGAAAATTTTGGATCAGCTCAAAAAAAATTGGGGAAAATGAATCATAGACATTTATTAGCTAATTCCTTATTGATGATTAATGAATAATTTCCTCTGGTTTCAAAAAAATATTTTCTTAAGCTAATATTTCAGATCTGAGGAAACTGAAAATTAACTGTATAAACCCTCACCTGCTGCAGCAAAGGAAGTCTATGTAAATTATTTCTATTTATTTATCTCATATATGCACTTATTGGATCAAAAAGTAGAGGCTGTGTCCACTTTACTTGAAGTTTAACTTCGTGCATTTGAAAGACATTCCAAATACAACAGCATGACCCAACAAAACGTTTGCTACAGACTCCATAGTGGTGGGCCATATGGTTTATGTAAGGACTAATAAGATGGTACATATGTTCTCCCTACAAGACAAGCACGGATTCTTCTTCTGAATGCCATGGAGCTTTATTTTGTATTCTAAATTAGGTGTAGGCCCCTTTGTGGGATGGGGAATGCCTTACTTTTCTGTTGAAGACCGATCTCTTGGTCGGAGCGGTGGGACCGGAGGTGGAACCTGTGGGGGAGGCACGGGAGAGGATGCATCCTTAAAGGCATCGGTGCCGTTGTCAGAGTGGCTTTTGGAAAGAGGTCTGTAGGTCTGGGTCTTTGCAGCAGGATGTGAYTGAGTGCTGTAGGATGGGTGGTACAGACCTACCATGAATAAAAYAAAAACAAAAATAAAAAGTAACATTTAAAAAAGCATGAAGTTGTTCATGCCTTTCAACATACCCAATGATTTTGAAAACTATTATCCACAAACATATTCATAATGCACACATTAGATTGGTATGTCAKGTACCCATYTGTAATATTATCAACTTAGTAATCATTATTTATTATTTAATAACTTATCACATATACAAGCACTGRTGACAGTAAATCTTCATCAATTATTTTGGAATTAGTAACAATTCAGACTGTTAATAAGAACAAACTTACAGGCACTCAGYMAATTTTCTCATCCATCATAGGCTAATAACATTGGTAAGGTTTCAGAAGAAGATTAAAAATTTTTTAGACCTATTTCCAAATATCTGCTGATACTTTAAAAACTCTGCTTTATATATGACAATTAATATGTTAATTGCAATCAAACAAAACCCTGAACAAGCTGTATCCATACGATGCTATGTGAGGCACAAGGGAACATAAACACTCAATAAGCTTCTAGTAAATTTGAGGAAATGAGGTAAATGCTCAGTAAGCTTCTAGAACATCTGAGGAAATGAGGCACAAATAGAATTATTACTGAAAATAATTGGTAACATTTAATAAAGACCAAATGAGGAAAATATACTAAGAATTAAAGGAAATTATAAAATGGTAGATGGGTCAGAGATGCTATCATAAAACCCAAGGGACTAGTCATCCCTGAAGGATTACTTTGGGTGGACAGAAGAGGGTATCAGGGATAAGTACAGGACAAAGAGAAGAGGGATGTGGGGTTAGTAGAAAGGGAGAAGACTAGTTGCAGTTGCTGTTTCTAATGATTAAACRATAAAACTTCTAGGAATTCTGGCTTTCCCTGCACTAATTACTCATGGAACATCATCTTCAATATTTAAAAAATCACAAGAATTCTGAATTTCCACAACTGCAATATTTTGGGGTAAGTTTATTTGCATTCCTCTGTTCCTCCCGAAGATCCACGCAAATTTCCGTGACAAATGTAAAGAGACAACATCCACACTTACAGTTTTCGYCTCAGTTCTACAGTCAGACTTCAACTTTTGAGCTAAATAAAGGAGGTAAGTTTGGTAACTGGAAATAAAGATGGAGGGGAATATCTTAATGGACTTCCCGTTATAATTTGAGGGAGCCAGGACCTAAAACCCAAGATTCGTAGCTAGTTAAGCTTGCTTTCTTCATTTTCCCTCTATTTGTCTTTGGAAACTAGTAGCAAAATATCTAATGCTTTTAGGGCCTGAATGCTGGTTCTTCAGGGGTCAAGGAGGAGGGAGCCTCACACAGTTCTGCTGCCAGGCTGGCTAAAGGACCCCTAAATGAGAACAAGCTGATGAACAGTCCTGAGCCTGTGGCTGGGCASGCAGAGAAGGCCCTTGGTGGAATACCTGATGCAACACTTAGGAAAAAGTGATAAAAGGAACCATGTTTTTAAGGATCTCTCACTCCAGCTGAAGACCACTTCACAAGATGCCAGAGTACTCAAATACAAGTGGCAGTGCCCCATTGAAGTTTTTCTATCAGGTTCAGTGGCAATTCTGAGTTAGAAAAGTGGCCCAGCCAAGTGGGATTTTTCACATCCCTCAATGAATGACTGCATTTTGGAGCAGAAACCTGGACAAGGTCACAAAACACTTGGCTTGATTTGTTTTTTGGGGAAGTGTATTTGAAAGATCTTTAGCAATTGTAATCACTCTCTCTGCTGGTAAAAGAAGATCTTTATCTTTTTTTGTACCCTGGTCAAAATAAGATGTTCTTTCACCCTGTCCTTCACACTTTGGTTAAACATTCCTGAAACCCAGAATAAACTAATCSTGGGGATGAATGAGACAAAACAGTATTAATTCTCATTTCCATGAGAAAAGATCAATCTGTTTGTTATGCATGCTCTGAAAAAAAGAAGTCAAGCAACCTCCTAATTATAGGAACCACAGTGTGGTCAAACAGAGGGACAAAACAAAGTGATGGTGTAGTTCTTCCAACATTGTTGAGCATCCAATCGTCATGACAAGCAAGGAAACCCATCGGCCCATCCTACCTGCATTATATGTGTAAGGAGTATTGTACATGTCTGAGTCATCATCTAGAAAATGAAACATAAATATTATGGTAGTACAGATTCTGTCACCATGCCATAACAACACAGCAGAATTTCAGAGAAACACCAGAAATTTGCTAAAAGAGCAATGCATTTTTTCCTAGTTCATAATATCCATTTATGTTTCCAAGTACTGCTTTTTGCTGAGCCTCTCTGGACTGACCTTTCTTATCTTTAATGTATTTGCCTTATGGCCYTCTTCACAGCATGCAAAGCCCAGGCCTTGTTCTCACTTCCCTAGGAGGCTTGTTAACTGCAGGCAGCAGGCTCAGCCAGCCCTGCCTACATCACTCTCCTGATAAGGAGCCAGCTCTCCGGGCAGGAGGGAGGAGGGAGGAGGGAGGAGTCCGTTGAAATAGACAACATGCCCAGTGCAGGATGTGAACAGGGAAGGATGGAGGGGCAAGACCAGAACACTTGGCAGTGTCCAAGGTGCTCCTTCTAAGAGGCTTCCTGGCAGCTTGGGGGTGAGGTAGAGGCACACATCTGTGAGTTGAGGAGTGATAAAAGAACAGGAAGAATGTTGAAAAGAAAGGGGGCATGAGATTCACTAGRGTCTTGACATTTTTGTGTGAATGAAATCATGCGAAAGAGGAGTAGACCTCCTTCAAATCACAAGGCCCCCAACAGAAAACAGAACATGCATACCAGGCTTGTGCACCATGTGGATTTGCTTAAACATAGTCTTGTACCAGTCCTTGGGTCGGTCAACTGTCTGTAATAGAGAATATCCAATAGTTAATAAAACTGACCCGAGGTAAATATTGTTTTTCAATGTCTTCATTGCTTGTAGTTTATCTTTTTAGTAGCAATTTCTATTTAGTTATAAAAATTTTCTGACTCTTCACTATTACTTAGTGGTGATTTTAGCAATTTATCCTGTTATATATGCAAAGTATAATTCTATTATCCCACCTCTGAGTTCATACTGAATTGGAGCGTTAGATGCTAGGGTTTTATTTGTTCAAATCACAGCTGTGCACTGACTGCATCTAGCTCTTTATATGTGACATTACCTTATTGTACACCGGTAGAAAAGTAAACATATATCTTTATAATCATAACTAAATGTTTTGCTTGACAAGATCTTTATCCCAACTCTTTCAAAGTTACATGGGCAAGAAATTTGACCATTTTGTTTGACACAGTTAGCTAAATAAACCAGATTTTCTAAGACTGTTCTCTTGATTTGGAAAGTTTGGTTAGTACTGCTACAAAAGTATTCTTGTACTTGTTAGCTCAAGCATTGGTTTATATTTTATATCCTAATTTTTCTTTTGGAAATAGAGTTACCACATTTTTCATCTGGAAATTGAGGGTCCTGTGCCAGATGGCTTTGGCAATGCTGCACAAGTAGATTAACATTAAGGACTACTTGACTTTATTTGCCAATCACCTCTGCATTCTCAACTCTTCCTACAATGGAAAACTGAAGGCAGCTGATTGACTATACAGTCAAGTGGCTGCAGCTGGTAGGAAGGACCTTAGTGATAAAACAGGAGACTGGCTTTTATTTGCTGGCTCAAATGGAATAGTTAAACATGTATCTTTTTTTTAAGTTATATTTTTTAAAGATGAACACAATATCTTTATTTATTTTTATGTGGTGCTGAGGATTGAACCCAGTGCCTCATGTGTGTAAGGCAAGCGCTCTACCTATCGCTGAGCTATAACCCCAACCCCAAACATGTATCTTTTAAAAACTTTATTGCAGTGTTGAGGATGGAACCCAGGGCCTTGATGTAGGTAGGCAAACGTACCACCTCTGAGCCCAACCCCTGTGCAACATTTAAGGGACTTTTATTTCCATAAAAGATCAACTTCCCTTCCATTAATCTTCATTTCTTTTACAGTATAAGAGCAACAAAAAATAATACATAACTTTGTGCAAAAATATTTTCTAGCCATACTTGGATGCAACCAATGGGAACAACGAAGCCTAATAAGTCAACTAACGTCACTGAAAATGGCAATGTATTTTGACGGACAGGAATATTTTGCTCAATTGTTGGAGGGCCTATATCAGGCAGGATTTCACAGTTATGGCATCTGCTAGCTTTATATGGTGAGCAAAGAGATGCCAGGCAATGCCCCATCAGTTGGCAAAGGAGAACATGAAACTAGTAAAACGGGATTTTAAAATTCAAGGGCCCTTTCTAGAAGAAGTCCTATAATCCTTTAAAGCTCTCTCTCTTTTTTTTTTTTTACAAATGCCATCATAGAGATTGTCATGCTTCATATTGTCATTATGAAAGTAGATGTCTACTCAAATCTGAGGAAATTTACTTTTAGATGTGTCCTTCAAAAACATTTTGCACAAACAGTAATTACCAAGACTTCATTGTGYTGTCGTCATCTATAACCTTGACTGAATAGATTTCAATTTTTCTACTCCTACAGTTTATGAAACATCAGAGTTTCACAATGAATTAACATGCAGAGATTCCCMAAAAGAAAACAGACATATTTTCTACATACCAGTTTACAGTAATTCTGTTCTAAGTTTTGCAACTTTCCAGTTCCAAGAAATGGTCAAACAAGTGTTATATTTGAATTAAAAGGAAGAAAACTTTGCATGTCTCTTAACTAGCTGGGCTTAATTACACGATCTCATGGGGTCTGAGCCCTAGTGATTTTTGTTGTTGTTTTTGAGAATGGCAGTAAAAGGCTGACAGAGACATCCCAGGGCGCAGGAGAGTGGTCAATCTAGAAAGCTCCTTCCCTTCATTAAAGTAACTCAAAAGTAGTGGGTATTGATTCTAGGCTTTCTGGAGCGTCTGGCCCATTTAATAAAATCCTGTTGCCTTGGTATATGTTGGTCATCTGAGCCGATACTACGACATGGTGCATTCAGTTAGTACTGCCTTTGGTGTATACACTGGGCAGAAATTTAATATGAAGTAATTTGAGTCTTATAATCATTCCTTTCTACACAGCTGAGAAAGGAAAATACCCTTGGAGATTCTTGGCCTGCTGTGGCTCAGAGATGGCCTGACTCAACATTTATAAACACAGCTATACTTGGGGATGTGCTCTGTAGGCTGCAAAATAGTAAACATGAGTAAGAGAAGTCTTCATAGACCTGGTCCTTCTTGGTAAAGTTTTAAAGGTCTAAGGAGAGAATGATTGTACATAAAATTACGGTTCCTTATAAGGAATTTCTGGGTTGCTTATGTTTTATTCTCTATTTTTAGAAGGCAAATGAGCATCACATGTCTAGTGTATGTACTTGCTTATAACTAAGCATGCTTTTGATTTATTGTTGAAAAATAAAACATAAATTTTAAGATTACYTGGTTTTCATTAACCATCAGTTTTTACCTTTAAAATACAAACAAAGCAAGACCTTGCCAGTTAAAAATCATGTCTTATGGATTAAATAATGGATCAAGTTTGCATGCCCATTATTACATATCATGTACTGACTTAAAAAATCTACCCAGAGGTTTCAGATAAAAGCTTTTGAGTCCAACTTTATAATTACATTAGAAAGCAAAGATCTCTTAGTATGTTTATATACTGTTCCTCAAGGATCAATTAGACAAAACTAACGACACCATCCCTGTCTGACTTGGTATCCTTACATTATTAGGTGGAAAAAAAAATCAAATTTAACAATTTGGAGTCAGAAATCCTAAAAAAGGACACAAATGACCAAACACCACCATTGGAAACATGTAATCATTGTAAGACTGAAAATATTAGTCACAATCCCTGAACTTTTTCTGTTATTTCACTATGACAATCATCAGTTTCAACACAGAATTTTAGGACTTCACAATTCACCCCATTCAACATTCTAGCAATCTAATGAGTCAAAAGCCCCAGTTCCTGCTGTACTGATTTTTTTTTTAACTTCAATTAAAACACGGATGCTTATATCAATCAATTTTAACTCTTTTCTCTGTATATGGACTCCTCATATAATAAATGCAGGTTCAAAAAGAGAAGAAAAGCCCCACACTTTAGCTTTTTTGGAATGCTTCAGTCTTACCACTGATTCTTCCTGATCTCTTTCCCATTCTTTCCCTCTACCCATGATTGTCTTTGGCTCCCCAGGTTTGCATTCCAGGGAAGCAGCTCTTGGCAACACCCAGCCCTTTATGTGGGCTTGGCCAGCAAACTGTGTGCCTCTGGGGGAGCTCCTTTCTCACACCTCCCCCCAATTTCACCTGCAAAGATGCTGTGGCTCTCATCCTGGTGTCCCCAGTCCTCCTTCTCCCCTTCTCCCCGGCAAGCACAAGCCTCCTCTTCAAGTGGACCTGGTCAGCACGCAGCTGCCTGCCCTGGCTCTCAATAGCTGCCTCTGCTGCTGCTGAGCTTTGCCAGAAGGGGCTGCCCCCGACACACTGAGCAATGCTTTGGCAGAGTTTAAAGACTTAAAAAAAAAAAAAAAATTCCCAACACTTTCACTTATCATCCCCAGAGAGCGCCCAGCAGGCTCAGTTGACAGGGGACACTCAGATGTGTATTTTTCTTTAGACACTTTTCCCTTTCCATAACATTAGCTCCCTTCACTCCAATCATCTCACCTCCCAGCTCCCAATTCACAGCTCTGCATCTCCTGGTGTTAACACACATCCATTTCAAGAAACAAAATCACTGGTTTATTTGCAATGCATGTGGGAATTCAAGGCAGCCAAAGAATTTGCTTTTTTTTTTTTCTTGTTCCTTCTCTTTTTTCTCTATGGCTCTATCTATTCTTATTTTCTTTAAAAAAGTTTTATCATTTAATTTAAAAAATCACAATTTTCATGACTCTTAATTCAAATGGAAAAACAGGTTGCGTAATTTTCTTCAATGGACAGTTCTCTTTCTCTGCCACACAGCATAATATTCATGAGAACTCAATGGCACAGAGGGCAATCCTCATTATATAAGACCCTAGGAATGCACAAAGCCACGCACAATCCATCCTTTGTAGAGGCTGTGCATAGACCCAGGCAGACGCACACGCTGGCATTTCCTACCGTTCTAATTGCTGTGGGGATTCCGGATTCATCCACTGGCCCAATCCCCGGGTAATGTGGAGCTTTGATGACTGTCACTCTCTTCTCTTCCTCTGAGGATCTGTACAGGGGGATTGAGCTGCTGGTGGTACCGTCCAGAGACTGTGCATGCTGGGAATAGGTCTCTGCAGAATCTGTGCAGAAAATTTGGTGAAATATAATATATTGGATGCAAAAAGACTCAAAATTAATAGTGCCTCTTGTACTTCTGTGCCAATTGTAACATAGAGATCATATTTCCATGGCTCTGTCTTTTAATTCATTGACTTTGTTTTTGAGCAGCTTGTGGTATAGAGGATATAGTGTAGATGTGCCGTGAACAGGCTCTAACATAGAAGACCTCAACATTTATGACATTTGTTGAATGGCTGTTTGACAGCCACTGTTAAGTGAACACGACATGTTCGACCTCGTYTTCCCTTCCAGTAATCATGAGGGACTATCTTGGGAGGGAGACAACAATCAGTTCTGATGAGGGGGCAGAAGCTGAGATGAATTCAGTAATTTCCCTCAAGTCACAATTCATACCAATGTTATTCTTGTGATACCACTGACCACCAATGACAGTGACTTCATAAAAAAACCAAGTGAACAAAAAAATCACTTTAAAAATTTTTACATCCAAACAGGCATGAATGTTAAAGGTTATGGGTAAAAACAAAAACAACAAAAACAAGAAATCTTTAAAATGATTAGTATAAATTGAGTTGGGTTTAAATAGCCAATGGCTATAAAAGGCCCAAACCATAACGTTTTACCATTTGAAGATAGCAATGGTATTGAGGATATCAATTAGAGGAAGCTTGTCAAGATCCTATCTTCCTGTTATCTTAACAACTTCTAGTGTACTTTCAGAAGCAACCAAGGGGACACCCAAGTATTATATTTTCCACGTATGCTGAGTTTGAAAATACCTACTGCCATTCATCTGGCAAAATTAGCAATAAGACATCCTGTCTTTTATCAATTAGTTTCAAAATTTTGGTGACTAAGAATGTTACTTTCTTTATACTGTTTATGCCATAGGTTGGTAGTTCTGTCACTCAGAAAGTTCTTTTATGTGGAAACAGAAGAGCCCTATGTTTCTGGATAGAATTCATTGATATCACTCAGATGTACATGTGTGGGGGTAGATGTACATATATATGTACACACACATATACATACACAAATATTATAAATACATGTGTTTTTCATGAAAAATTGTATGAACATCATAAGTGAACATTTTAAAAAATTCAACTCATCTTTATAAGGGAAATTGGAGTTAAGGTCTAACATTTATAGCTATTATTATTATTATGAATATTTTCAATTTAGTTTGCAACAGAAAAGCATTTTTAGTATATATTTTAAAAGAATGGATAAAGCTAGGAATAAAACTGCTTTATGTACCAACGAATATGAAATAAATATCTTTTCAAATTCCAAAAAGGACTTGAGAGCATAATCCTAGTATTTTAATCATCAATGAATGTTTTTCGAAAAGTTAGTACGTTCAAAGTCCTAACCTAAGCACATGGAATCAACTCTGTCTTTACCTATGTTTCTTTAGGTTATAGACTGTAGCTTATGCAATGGAAGTTAGTTCTTCATTTTATTATTCTTTTATATGGTCCACTTAACTCTTATCTTTGCAATCCCTTGTCCCCAACTAACTATAAAGAGTAAACGTATAAATTCTTGTAAAATTCTTCTACTATCACAGCATTGGCCAATTAGAATTTGTTTGATGTTTATAAGAGAAAATTCTTCCCTTGTAGTATAGTTAATATGTAAAATCTGCTCATTGATAAGGTCTAAAATCAAAGCCTCTCTCTATTTGAATATTTATAATTTTTTTGTTTGACGTAATGGTGCTGGTAGGAGGGATAAAACTGTGTTCATTAGGACAAGCAATTGGATAAAGAGTCACACTTTGATAATAAGTATTTGGGAAAGTGTTGTGGATATCCAGAAYAATTTGTAAAGTTTTACTTTATATGTGTGATTCTATATAGTTCCATTACAAAAATCTGAATATAATGGATTTCTGTTATAATACTAAATATGGGCTGGTGGTTAAAGGAAAAATTTTTGGCACAGGGAAGTTCTACTTTCTTGTACTCTAAAAGGACATCATTATAAGATGCACAGATGATCCCCAGGGGTAGCATTAAAGAAGGCACAAGTATGAGTCTTTAATGAGTCCCACAGCTGCATTTGAAGCCTTACAAAAAATTTGTTGACCATGGAAGCCGAGTTCCACCATGTACAGCCTGGATATTGCCATAACATATTCTTTAGTAAACTAGGGATTATCATGATCTTTCAGTATGGAGTCACTATTGGGAAGGTGGGGTGCTGCCTGTTGTCAACCAGGGAATAGCAAAGTCCTGTATTCTGGTCACTTTTTCTCTGTTGCTGATTTGCAGTGGCCAGAGGATGTGTCCTCTCCTTTTTTCCTTTCCTGAGAGGCATATGTGGGCATGCTCTCCTCAGCTTCTTCTCTGCTTCTTGCTCTCCTGGAAGCTTTCTCATTTCTCAACATCACAGAAGCTTTTTCAGCCTGAATTCATATAGTGGTTCAATTTGGTATGTTTTTTAATGTTTGGGGGTTTTAGAAGTATTTATTACATTCTTTTCTAAACCATGCTAATATATTTTATATAAGATTTTTCTTTTTATGGCATAGCATCTTTTTTTTTCGGGAGGTTTAAAGAATTTATGAGGCCCACCAAATTATATGCTTAAATATTTTTATGTTTTCTTTTTCCTGGAGGAGAGCTATATTTTTCATCTGATCCTTAATCCCCAAAGGGTTAAGAACTGTTTCTCTATAAAATTATGGAATCATCATTTAAGAGACCTCTGAAGTTTCCCTTGTTTAGCTTCCTACTACCCCATCCCAAACTGATGACCTTCCGGTCTTGGTCTGCATGGTAGTTTATTACCGTGTGAACCAGTACTTTATTGTTTTATTACTTTGTGAGACAGCCTGTTCCTTTGTCACAGTGTTTTGACTGTTAAACCATTCTTCCTTAAATATATAAACCAAAAAGAACATTCTACAGCAAAAGTTCTTCCACAAAGGTAAAATCTGCCTCATGGAAAAGTACTACATTAATGTTCCCTGAGGAGTGTAGACTCTCCTCTCCCTAACTGTATCTTTTCCTTTCTACCTGCCACCTCAAATATCAAATAGCCTTTTTCCAGGCTCAGAGGTAGATGGGATCATGGTCTTGGAAGAGCTGGGTATCTGTTTTGTCTGATGTTGAAACCTCTGCCCTGGTTCCTCCTAGGACAGGTCATTAAAGAGTGGAGTGTTGAAACATCCTGCCTCACTTTGATGCCTTCTGTTTTTCTCGTGTGTGCTTTGTACTAATATTGAAATAGCTGCGGGACTCATGGTGCTCACATCACTTACCAAGGGATCTGCCATGCTGCATGATCATGCTTGAGTTGAGCGAGGCTGGGAGAGAATACGCCGAGGGGGAGAACGGCCGTTGATAGTAACTCATTGGACTCACAGCTCCTCCAGAGTTGCCATTCACTGTTATCTGGCTCTGAGGAAAGGGCAGAGGCATCCTGTTATAGCAAACAGTTCCTGTAAACATCCCTCCTTTACTTGACAAGGAAAGGCTTCCAACTGCATGACAGTAATCAACTGCCAAGTTCTGATTTATTTCAAAAACTGATGTCATAGGGGCAGGGCACATTTTTTTTCAGTCTCTCTCTCTCTCTCTCTCTCCATTTTATTTCTGAAAGTCACTCTCCTCTATATCAGAGGGCACAGAAGGTGGCTAGAAAGGATGGAAGCAGTTAGACACTCTGGTCACAGAAGTGCCTAGTGGTATCAACAGGAGTCACCGCTACATAAACTTGGAGGGTGCATGTGCTCCTAAAAATCATGACTTAAGTAGTTGTGACTTAAATTTCACATGCAGGATTTGAAATGAATGCTCTGACATAAGGGAAGGGATTGGTTCTCAGATTTAGGAATATCCTCTAGTGAATAAAGGTTTCCAAAACAAAGTGAATAATCTAAGGAACAACCTTTTCTAGAAGAGTCACATACCTAGTAAGGCATCAGAAAGACACGTTAAAATACTCACTTTTCCCTACTTCAAACTTCATCATTTATTAACAATTTATTTCAATTAATTTATATATGAATGTTTTGTAGTCCCAAAGGTATCTCAAGATTCTTGTTGAAGATGATCATAGATAGGCTTCTTTTTGAAGTTTTTATAACATACAACCTGGTGCTAACCATATAGTAGACATTCAATAGATACATATTCTAATTGAACKGAATCAGCTTAGTTTTCACAAGTTAAGCTCAGGAATAACAATTCACAGCACAGCGATGAGTATTATGGAGATTATGTACTGCATGCAAATAAGACAAAACATTAGTAAGAACTTTCAGTTAAAATTGTCTTATAGCTGAATACACACAAACACGCKTATGTACATAAAGACCCATAATTTKCGAGCTTTTCCTACTTATTTTAAAACAAAATAAACTTCTATTATACAGGCTTGAAACATAGACAAATAATTACATAGTTCCATAATTTCACTTTAAAATAGGTTATGTTTTCAAATGACCTAGAATAAATCTGATTTTATTACCTCATAGCCATAACACATAGATACTAAAATCAATAAACATTTCATTATAAGGATTGCACTTTTAAAATACTTTTTTTAGATGTTAGGAAAATTGCTTTCCTATCATAACCAATCATTTTTGAGTACCTTCTACCTGGAGARACCTGGACATTCAATGTGAGGCACAGATCTGATCAAATGTTTCAGAGCCTTTAAGTATCCCTGGGGAGTGATCTGAGGATGTTTTTGATTACTTGCTCAAATCAAGTCTCGTGGATCTTTATAAATATAATCTTAATGCTATTGCTCTAATGTGCTATAATTAATGTTAAAAGTAGGAGATTAATTTTTATTTAAAAATCAGTAGGTTGCAGTGGGTTGAGTATCCATTATCCAAATGCTTGGGACCAGATGGATTTTGGAATACTTATATATACATAATTACATACCTCAGGGATGGAACCCAAGGCTCAACATGCAATTCATTTTTATTTCATTCATGCCTTATACACATATGCTGAAAGTAATTTTAAATAATAATTTTAGTGCACCTGCATTTTGACTGTCCTTTCACATGGAGTCAGGTGTAGAATTTTTCCACTTTACCATGCCATGTCAGTGCTCAAATTTTTTCAGATTTTGAAGCATTTTGGATTTTGGAGTTTTGGGTTAGGAATACTCAACCTGTATGTTACGAAACTTAAGAAACTGAATCCTATTTTGATGGTTTCGATAATATTCAGGGATTATAAATGAACACTGAACGTAGATTTACTCTTTTTTATTGTGTTAAACCAATCAAGATTTTAGTAATTAAATAACACTATTAGAATTTTCAAAAATACTATAGTGACTATAATTAATGATGAGGAGAAACATCTCACGAAGAACCTATGAGCAATAAACTGATAACTGGAATCCATTTCAGTTGCCGTGCCCCCTGACTGTGTACACAAGACCATCTGCATAACTGAAGATCCCAGAGAGTCTCAAAAACAGACAACTGAAGAGATCAGTGCATGAATTGATATGCTCTGGCAGGACATAGGCAGCCATACCTGMCAAGCACCTGATAACACAGGCTGGTCCCCTGCTGTGGCAGGGAGGGACGTTTAGTGGAGTAAGACCTATAATATGTTTTAAACACCTTCATTGGGTGACTACCAAAACCGATCCAAAAAAAGATGGATGGGATTCATTTTCTGTAATTGCAGAGTCTTAAAAAAATATATGGCTTCCTAAAACATTTCTCTATGCATGAATGTTGCAGATTTAATGTCCTGGATAGAATATAGAAAGTATGTAACATGAATAAAATTTTGTTTATGACAGTGCTCATTTGGAACTTCATTGTAACATTTATTTTAGGAAAATAAATCCCCATTTATTTATTTATTTATTTTCTGCCTAAAAGTGATGTGCCTTTGAAATGGAAACCATTAATTCTACATTATATGCAATTGAAAATTTGTGCCATGACATTTTGAAGCATTTTAGGCATTCGTTAATAATTTATTAGGAACTGCTTGGCATATGGACACTTTTCAATGACATAGCATGTAGAAAAAATATTTATAGATGGAAGGCAAATATAAATAATGTAKTCATACATTTCTGTACTGGAGTGGCTCAGGAAAAATAATTCCACAACAATCACAGGGCTAAATTTCTGTAATGTTAATTAAGATTATTTACATCATCCTCTCCTGTGAGGCAAAAGGGTTCAAAAGATGTAGTTTTTTAGTAAAAGGCAAGTAAGAAGAATTAGCACCACTCAGTCAGTAAGCACTTCTGTGAGAAACAAAGATATTAAACTATTTACATAGGACCATTAATATGAGTCAGTGAGGAAAAATGTTATCTACCAGGTATTAACATTGGATTAAAATTTTTGAAACATTTTAGACTTTTTCTACATTCTAATTATAACAGCATACTTATTTAACTTTCTGAGATAACTCATATTAAGGAAAATCACTGTACAACTCACCAGCCATAACCATATACTAAGCCATAAGCAAACCATTTTGAAGCAATCATAAATAACTCTAAATTAAGTAAAGAAAATATAAGTAAATTTTATAGCTCGAAGTAATCTTAATGAGGATGACTGTAGTGCATCTCCCTGGCAGATGGTATAGAATTGGTTTACTCATCAACACCTATGTGAAAAAAAAAATGTTCAGCTGCATCACAAGATGGCAGACAAGAAATCAGTCTTTGTAAAAAACGGTGGAGGCGAAGGAAGGAAGAATAATTACATGAGTGGTGGCAGGGGTGGTTAAGGTGGTGCCATCTGTCACAGCAGACCTCTGACCCCAGGTTGGGGAAGGTGTCTCAGAACAGTCAGTGGTGTCAGGGTTACCCATCTGCAGCTCAGCTAGAATGGATGCGGAGGACTCGCTCTCAGAGCGGGAGGAGTGCTCGCCCAGGGAGGAGTCTGTCCTGAGAGAGCCTGGGTCCTGGCTGTGGACAAGGCTTTCGGGAGCTAGGAGAGGGTGTTTATAGGAACAATGTGACAGGCTCTGGGGCTTAGGCAGGCACGGAGGCCCCAGATCATCAGGTGGCTGTGCTGGGCTGGAGCCTCTATCTGCTGCAAAAGTGACTCCTTTTTGGTTAAAAGGAATCGCAGGAAAAGGGCACGAAGAAGCAGCTTCTGATGTGGTTTGTCTGTGTGTCTGTGAAGCATTTACCTCCAACACACTGGCAGCTAAGTGCTGATTTCCACGCTGAGTTTGAGGAAAAATAATAAGAACAGATATGAATTATCCAATGAACAAAAACATCTCTGTTTGGCAATGGGGCGGAGAAGGCAAAGCATTTGKTTTTATTTGCAAGCACTTTAAGAAAATACACTCAGATGGATTAGGTGTCAACCACACAGTACAGAGAAAACATGGAAACATGAAGAAAACGAAGCCAGGCAGYGTTTTTTGGAAACAAGACTAGTTTTCACACGACACTGCAAACTAAGTTTGGGTAGTAGGGGCTGTGAGTGTTGACATAAGAGATTTCTCCCTCAAAAGTTTGAGCTTTTTGTCCTGGTGACAGCAAAATGATTATCAGATTGTCCATGGCTGGGCAGCATTAGTTTGACCTTCACAAGAGAAGCCTTGTAGCATAGCTCTTCCTGTGGCCTCTCCATGGCCATAATGTCCCCAAACTATAAATCAGTTTGCCTCATTTTTTTTTTTCCTGGCTTATGGATTTAAATACTGATCAAACTAAAAAACAACTAAGTRGAAAGGGGATTTGTTTCCTTTCCACTCGTTGAGTCTGTTGATTTCACTGAAACATGAAAAAAACAACTGAACTTTAAAATAGCAGTGCAAATAGAAGTTCTTATGTGTGAAAGTGAAGTGAAAAGAAAAACCAGCCAGTGGGAATGGTTAGAAGGCACCGTCCTTGGTTAGAGCTAATGTTAAATCTCAGGAAAAGGAGAAAGAAACGGAAGGAGAAATAAAAGGTTTAAGATCATCAAAGCTATTTATAATATGCATATATGTTGGAGGGATTGTCTGCAGCAGGAAGGGAGAAGATGGTCCATTAAACATTTTTGCATTCATCTCATAATTTTGATGGTGTCTGACCACACGTATTAAATATAATGATAATCATAAAACTCCGTGAATGAATGAAACTTCAAAGCAACTTTTCCCTTTTAGTCTCCCCTCCTTGCAGAATACAGGATCTTGGGGGTATTTGAGACACTGCCAGGTGTAAGATRGCTAAAAGCATTATGGGATATTATCATCAAGGAGGGACGTGGATTAAAAAGAATTGTATAAACTTAGCAATATTGCCTAGTAAAGATTTAAGTGGTACCATTTGGTGTCCTTGGCCAGCCATAATTTTCATAGGAGCTGATGTCATATAGGTTGAGGACCTCATAAAAGTCATAATTATTTTTTTTTGCCTCAGGCTTTTAATTGAATACTTAAAATGCACC